TGAGAACTGTCATGCAATCAGATATGATACGAATAATTCAACTGAAAATGTTCCCTCTTTTCTGGCCACCGTCTGCAGTTAGCGACTCAGCGGTTGCATTTCAGTTCGGCATTTGCAGCGATCCCCCTCCACCTCACCTGGACAATTAGCAGCGCATTGCGTGCCACTGGCTGTGGTAAGACGTAAAACAGGGACAAATCTTGACCAAGTTTGTGTCTCCAATGCTAATGGCAGCGAGGTCAGAGTTTTATGTATTGAGCATATGTTTCTTGTGTGGCTCTTACAATTTCCTGGTTTGTCAAAACTATCGCCTATATCGAATTTAGCCAACGGCTCTGCACGGCCGCGTGCCTCACAATACCTAGCAAAAGCACACACACAAACTAAAACAAATCAACAACAAAAAAAAAACGACTGCAAAATTGAACAAAAAAAAAAAAAAAGAGAAAAGAGAACATCGATTTGTAGCAGCGCCTTCGCAAAGCGTGAAATTTATGCGACCCACACGCAGCGCCACTCACACGACCACGACCCAGCAGCAACAGTAACAGGCAACAGCGGCGAGAGCAGCAGCCGCCACAGCCTCAGCCACAATACAAGAAGATGCTTCACCTTCAACCATCCAAAGTTGTAGTCGAAGTTGGAGTCGAATGCGGAGTTGGAGTTGGAGTTGGAGTCGGCTTTGATGCCAGCAAATTTCATTTCTCGCAATAAATCCCTGACTGATTTATGTACTGCACAATCGTTACAAATCACAAACGTTTACTGAATGAGCGTTCGTCTCTGCACTCTCTGCTCCTACGAAAAGCAGGAAAAAAAAAGCAGAAAAAAGTGACAGTGGCTTCTGCCAGTCTGTCCGTCTTTCTGTCTGTCTGTCTATCTGTAGTTTACAGTCTGCGCTCACGTGCTGACTTTCAGCTTCAATCAGCGCGTCTTCACTCGCAGCTGAATTGCATTTGAATTAATTAAAAATAAGAAAAACGCTGCTTGAAATGCGGCTGCTGCTGCTTCAGCTGACGAAGATCACGAATCAGTAACGTTTTTATTTTTTTTTTATCGCTTTTGAGCAAGCACAAAATTTGTCAAATAAAGATTTGCACAACGGCAACAAACAATAAAATACAAAATTCAACGGCAATGTCTCCATTATGTCCAGACACACACACACACACAGTAAAATACACACACTAGATGTAAATCTTGCATGTACACACATGTATCCTTTTGTGTTGTGTTGGAGTCAAACAATTGAATGCCCTGACAATGCAACAGCAACAGCAGCAGGAACAGCAACAGCAGCAGCAGCAGCCTCATCCCCTGACATGGACAAAATCGATCAAGCCAAAAGACAACTGCAGCCCAATCCCAACAGGAATCGCAGACTGGCAGCCAAGCAAAAGATTTACATACTCTCGACACTCTCGAGTATCCGCAACGAGGCGACATTGTCCACGGTGCTGACCACTTAAGTTGATGTCGTCGTCGCCGTCGTCGCCGTCGTTTTCGCTCTGCGCCCAAGGCGCATGCCTGCAACCCCAGCAACAACAACAACAGCAACAACAGCAACAGCAGCAACGACGACAACAGCAGAGAGAGCCTGTTGCCTGTTGCCTGTTTGCCGGGTGTTGCCAACTTGGGACAAAAAGGATGACTAAATGCATGCAAGTTATTTAAATGAGACATTTTAAGAGTCAGTTCATGGCAAGGCTGCAGAATGTGGACAACTCTTGGTTCCGACTCATGCATAGCCTTTAATAGTGTATACGATATGGGGCTTATCGAATTGATTGCCAAATTTGTTAGTGTTATAATTTAGTCTAAACATCTACAAAGAAAGCAGCTAGAAAACAATGTTAAATTAAGCCTGGAAATTACATTCTTAATTCCAAATTAAATGTTTAAAAACCCAAATAAATTATTCTTCTATGCCAATAATTTCTCTTTAATGCAAATTGTATATGCGTATTTATATATTTCCTAATATATATTTTCCCTAAATAATTCCTAAAAAAAATCTTCCGATTATAGGATCTGCAAGAAATATAGGATTAGCTTTATTAAACTAGGGCAAGAAAATTTCACAAATTTTTTCCTCTCGAAGCTGTCTTAAGTGAATTTGGGAGTCCCAAATCACACTGCGATTAATGGAAAAATCAACGACCTCAACTTTTGAGGTATGACCAAATTGGAAAGCTGTATAAACATCCCATTATCATAAATATACCTACTTGCTCCAAATTGGAGCTGAACTAGAGCATCGCTGCTTCGACTAGCCATAGATTGATTGAAAGTTTACATTTATGTTTATCTGTGAGCTGTTGAGCCACAGCAATGCGGACTATTTATGTACGGACATTTTATTCGGTTCTGACTATTCACCTGGTGGCTGTCAACTTTGGGTGGCAGCATTGGCCAGCTGGCAGTTAGTGTCCGCTAATTGTGTCGCAGCTGCCAGATTTATGTGGCCCGATCAGACCGGCGTTAATGTATGCAAATGCGTTAGGCCATCAAATTATAATTCAATTCTCGATTAGAGACGATCGACCACCCGAGCAGCTAAGAAAGACAAGACGCTTGCCTATTGCCTGGCAAGATTGGCTCATAAATTGTCCAAATTAATTCATTGTGGCACCAATGGCGACACCTACTCGTTGTCCGCTGGGAATGTATCTGACCACTTGATTCGTAAGTCATAAATTTATAGTCTTTATTGAAACATCAATTTGGACACCACATAGCATAGCGACAAGGCAACACCTAGCCGCCCAGTTCAAAGTTACCCGATCCCAATTGTATTTCATGAGGAGAACGGCGAAGAGAAACGAGAGACGGGAAACGAGAGAAGCGAACAGTGAGGCAACAGAGGCAGCAGAGGCAGCATCAAGGTGGTCTCCAATGATGCTCCAATCGTTCCGACCAACAGCAGCGCTTGCTTGATGCTCTTTCTACTGTTTAGAACTGGTTTCTGCCTACAAACTATAAGTATTATCTGAGTATATTTTTGTCGTTTTTAACGTTTCGAATATTATTTCGATTTTTGGCAGATACGAATTCAACCAATCGCCGTCGTTCATTTTTGTTAATGTTTGAACACTTTTACAGCTTGTTATGCAAATGGCTATTTTTTGTTTTTTGTTTTTGTTTTGGAAAGTCTTTTTAGCTCTAGGCGTTTATTTTTTTTGTGGCTACAATGGAGTCTGATTATCGCAACGATGATATCATACCACAAAAAGGCGTGACAATGGTAGCCAATTTAAATTGCATACACAAGCGTATATTTAATGAAATAACTCAATTTAATGGAAAGATATTAACCACACGACGTGATAAATTAAAGTGTTGTCTGTTTAGTTCTGATTAAAGTCTTATTGAAGCAGATATTAATAATGCAAAAAATATTTGCTCAATGTCCTCGCCGTAGCAAGCAGCTTTGTGCATTCGTCATGGGGTAAGCCTGGCAGAGCAGGCAGCTATAGAACCGCTAAAAACGTGCAGCAAGCAGTAGTTGCAGGGCAACAAGCAGTGCACACTGTTAAACTTATTTACTTTACCGTTACTGATAAGCACAATTATTTATATAAATTTAGAAAATCGTGTGTAGTGTTTAGAATTCTTAATAAATTGAGTTATTTTAAATAAATGTAGGTGTTACATGAAATGAATATAATAGAAACAATAATAGAAAATTAGCTAGAAACAATGAGATGCTGTTTGCTTGTTAACAGTGCGCTAACAGCAGTGGTGTGGGCGTTTGGGTGGTTATTGGCCCATCGCCCAACCACCCCAAGGACATGGCTAGAACATTGCTATAAACGGACGAAACTCAACAGGTTTAAGTTCAGTTGCCTCTGAGCGCTCCTCGTGGCTATTGTCAACAAAAAATAGTCCTTGCGACGGGTTCGAAATTGTCGTTAGCGGTCATAACGGTATATAGATAATTGAATTTTCTTGATGTGCAGCAAATTTAATGTGTCAATAAAAATAATATTAATAATATTTATTGCTGATGTAGCGCTCGCGATTAATGTGATACATTACATACAATGATTTCTCATGCTGCGTATGCAGTTTAAATTGACAAATTTACGGCTAATATTTAATATACATATGTTCACTTATGTGTTTCTATATATAATGTGGAATTTTCAGTTATGGCTGGCACAATATTTTTTTAATCTTAATTTAATAAATGCTCGTTTTGGATTATTAATGTGTGGGACATCCACCCGCCCACGTTGATGACAATTTGTCAACGCAATTAAAACTTTAATCAATAAATGCGCTTAATGTGTGTGAAAAGTAAACAAGACGGGCAACAAACAGTTGAAAAGGATATTGTGTGTGCAGGAATTGTTTGTTTAACGCTACACTGTCAAAAAGCATTGAGATACTAGTATTTTATCACAAATAATCCTTTATTTGCTTCGCGCTATCAAATGTGCCTTCAATTAAACTGAAAGTGCGACAGGACACACAGAACACAATACAATCCTTGACCACATTAACTCAAACCCAAACCTGCTCATCCATCAAATTTGTTGTGTGCTGACATGACGCTGACTGCTTGAGCAGGGGGCACGGTGGGTGGGTGCTTGGATGGTGGCCTGGGTGGGTAGATAGTGTGGCCCATATGTGTTTATTTATCCGTTTTGCAATTATTTTACGCGACCCCTTTCTCATTACCGCAGGGCAGAAACTCTACAAGTGTGTGTGTGTGTGTGTGTGTGTGTGTGTGTGTGTGTGTGAGTGTGAGTGTAAGTGTGTGCTGCGTGTGTTGCGTGTGTGCTTGTGGCATTGAATTGAAACAGATCGAATTGAACAATTATCTATCGCTTTTTATGCAGCCATAAACGTTTGTATTTATGGGGCGTAGTCGATGTGCTCACAATATGCTAAATGGTAGAGCAGCTAACAAATTGAATCGAGAACAACAAAAGCAACATCAACAGCAACAACAACAACAGCAACAGCAACTAAATCTACACGCAATGCAAAGGACAATGGAGACAACGGCATTGGATGCAACAGCGTCCGCAACGGCGTCAGCAACGGCCTCGGCCTCTGCTGCGGCATCCACATGCATTAAGATCAACATTAGCAACTGCAAATCAAATCATCCTGCGGCTCGTGCCAGTGGCAGCGGTGTTGGCGCTGGTGGCGGCAGCGGTGGCTTGTTCCTCCTGCCCACACACTCCACGCACCACAATCTGCAGCTCGATAAAATTTCTGTGCGCTCGATTAGTTCAGAGGATATATCGACTGGCGGCAGCGGTAGATGCTGCAGTGCCGCTGCACGAAATCCGGCCATAAAAACAGGACGGCGACTGCAGCTGATGCAGGTTAGTAAAACGGTCGGAAAGGGAAGGGGGGAAGGGGGTAGGGGGAAGACAGGGGAATGAACACTCAGCATTAATTAGCAGAGCGTATGCATCTTAATTAGCTCACAAGCTGTGTGCGTTACTGTGGGGGAGGGTTGGGCAGAAGATGGGCAGTCACGTGCCTTTGGCTCAAATGAAGTGGCTCGATTAGCTACAGCAGACGATAAAGACTAATCACATTTCAACACATACATACACACACACACACACAGACAAATTAATATATATAGTCTGTGGATGGATGTGGAGCAAGTCTTCGGTTCTCAATTCAACTGAGACTCTGTCTACATTTTCCAGATGATAATTCTACCATTTATACCAATATTGGCATTGATTGTGCAAACATCGCTAACACTGCAGGAGATATTGGAGTATAGGGCCGATGTGGCCGGCATTGAGACACAGGTAAGTGTCAACAAAAAAGACTGCCATACTCCGAGGCAACCTGTAAGTTACGACAAACACAATGAACATTTTAGATAGGTTCTTAATCTGCTTCGTTTTATTGAATGGATAACTGAACACAATCTGAGGTGTAAAATTACAAAAAAATTAAGAAAACAAAATAAAATAAAAAACGTAAGTTAAAAGTCTCAAATTACCAAACAAAATATATTATGGTATATACATATATTAAAATTATTATTATTATTATTATTATTATTATTATTATTATTATTATTATTATTATTCATTTATAATCAAATCTATAGTCTCTGATAATTACTGAATACAGCTGAGCTGAAAATCGGCGTAAGTTGGAAGAAAATGCGTACTGCATATGACATTTGAGGGTCCACATCGAGATGTGCAGCTTTCAAGTGTACTTCAAATCAACAGGCTGTTAAACTGTTAAACATATTAGTTATACCCATACATATTAGCTACTCTGAATAAGAACAGGGTATAAGGCAGCAGAGGACAACAGAGCAATACAGATAAAGAGTGCGTAATTCAAATGTATTGCTGAAATTCAATCATCCGTCAAGTAGAGGAGCTCTTGTTCCGCTCAATGCTCACTTGACCAGCAAACAGATGTTGCGAGTGTATAGCGAGAGTGTCCTGTGGCCATGGATATGTATGTTAAGCGGGTACGGGACGGGCGGTGGTTGAGTGATGTGGGGGTAAGTCGACAATCGGCAATATTGTTTGCTCAGGTAAGTGCCTTGTGCTCGAAGTCCGCAAGAAGAGACCTCTCGTGGAGGCACACAAGCAGCTTTGCAGCACGAGTGGTGGAGGACTTACCCCAGACTCAGTCCCAACCGCAACCATCCCATCCCCACCGATCCCCTAACCGCAGACGTATCACTACGCTGTCCACCGTGCGCACTTCTTATGCAAATGCCTGGGCAAAATATGAGAGAGAAATAATAAAAAATATTTCTAGATGCTAAAGTGAATTGATAGGCGAAATATGCAATGACACACTTACAAGTTGTGTGCGGGGTGTGGGGGCGTGGCAGTGAGCACATACAGGAAATGCGAACTGAAGGACAGCCCTTGAATTGGGTCACGTACTTAGAAATGCAAAGGACAGGAAATAAATATGGCTTGCCACGAAAAATGCATACTCTAGCAGTATCTGTCACACACATTGCCAGTTGACAGCCTGACAACTCAAACTCCATGGAAATTTAGACTGTGGCTTAATTTCCGCGTCTGTCTCCGTCCGAACTTTAGCTAATTGGCTTCAATTGGATTCAGCTGTAACTTTAACTTCTTCTGATTGAACAAAAGTTGCTCACTGCTCCCAGAGTCAATGTTAATTGTCTATTAAGATAAATAATTCAGTCCTAAATAGTCAAAGTCATGTTTGCGTGAGCCCGAAAGAGTAAAACTAATAAGAAGTAAAAGCGTTCCACCCAAATTCTCTCCGAATTCTAACTTGATATTATTATTAAAGTAGAGAACCAGATAATCCAGAATTAGTTAAATCAAGCACCCAAGTCAAATATATATATTTAAAAATAAGACTATTAAGATGTCTCTCTTCGAATTCTTACTGGATTTTTTGTATTAAAGTTAAAGCAATAATGTGTAAGCCACATAAACATGAAGTAGCTTAATTTAAAATTCAATTCAATATTTATTTTTAAGTAAAGTAGTAGAGTATTTATTTTTGAATGTAGCTTCAAAATAGAACAATATGCTCCATAAGTATATGTAAGAAAACGGAGAAAACATGATGAATTATTCAGTGCGCTACAAAGTGAAGGACTAACTAATCAAGACCACACCTAGCGCAGGACAAGACTCTCTGACTCGCTGATAACTGCGCAAAATAAGACACACTTTCACACACACACACACACACACACTCATACACACACACTGACAATCACATACGCTCGAAGATAATCTCATTTCTGGATGTTTACCCACCCACGCCAGGTGACGATTGCAACGGACTTGGGCAAAGTTGTCACACGACTGCAGCTGGAACGTTCCGAGGTGGCCTTCTACATCTTTACCAATGGCAGCAAGCAGCGGTTAGTTGACTTTAAACTGCTTTTCCTTTTACAAGAATTGTGCCACTTGTACGTATTGCAGTGCCAATCTGACACAGCGCTTTGCCAACACGGATCATGCGTTGAATAACATGACCACTTGGAGCGAGATTAGTGTGCCGACTGCGCCAGATGAGGATGAGGATGAATGCGAGGTCATGCTGAATCGCAATGAGTTTCAAAGTCGTCTCAATGAGTTCAGAGAACGTGTGCGCCTCGAGCCCGAGGATAGCTCCATTACAGAAGTCATGAACTGGTACACATCCATTAATCGCGGCCTGCTCCATCACCTGAATGAGCAGATTAAGGAGACGGACAACAGTGGCGTCTGGCGGTATGTATCTTATATCCTTTTCTTGCTTTTGTTAGTAAGCTTTAATGTTCTTTACAGAAGACCAGAAAGTCTGTCTTTCCTTAATTTTCTTCTTTCATTCCACTCGTACTGGTTAAGTTTAACTTTTTAACTATTAACTTGTCTTCTCGTTGTAGCTATCTGGTGGGTTTTAAGAATCTGCTAAAGAGCATTGAGTGCCAAAACATAGCCACCTCCTTTGGCATACGCTACTATGGACGTGGTCCATTGACCGCTGAGAACTTTGTCTCCTATGTGCGCTACGAATTTATGGCCCGGGAAATGATCAACTCCACGTTGAACTATGCTCCAATGCTGAAAGCCATGTATACCAACATAACCAATACAAAGAAATTCCATCGCGTTAAGCTCATGTGCGTACCCTGAATTTTGATCTTTCAAATTTTACAAATTACAAATCTCTCTGCTTACAGGAGCAACATGGTGCTGAAGAATAAGCCAAATATTTCGGATGAGCGCAGAGCCAATGAGTACAATGAATTTATGCACAATTACACTGATGATCTCAGAATACTTCAAAAGGCCCTGCGACGTCTTATCAAGTATGTATCTTGTATCTTTAACTTAACTCTAGAAAAGATACTTTATTTCAAATGTGATTCACTGTTGAAATCTTACGCCAGACCTTTAGCTCTGTACCCTCAAAAAATGACTGTAGGAACGATTCTACATGTTCTAGAAAGCCATAAAATTGTCAAAAGTTATCCGATTTTTAAAAACCAAATCATTTTTGATCATGCTTTGGAATGGGTCAAACACTACATTTAAATCAGAAAATGCAATTCTGAATCCTTTGTGAAAAATGATTTGCCTTTAAAAAAAACTAGCGTAGAAAATGTAAAAAATAAGGTATTTTTGATATATGTTAACTAAACAAAGTTATATCAATTTGGCAGGGAATATGTGGACAAAACTTTGGTGGAGGCGGATCGCAAGGAGGCGATTGGCATAGCGATTCTTGTTGTTGTGCTTTTGGTGTCACCGATTATAATCATACTGGTCAAGAATGCAGCTGCAACAATACAGGTAAATAATAACTCTGCATAACTAGCCATAACATGAAAGATGCGTGCCGTGCCACATTTTACAGTTATACGCGATAAATTTGTCCCTAAAAGCGAAGGAATTGAAACGCGAGAAGCGCAAAAGTGATTCGCTGCTCTTTCAAATGCTGCCGCCCAGCGTTGCAATGCAGCTGAAACAAACACAACAGGTGAGTGTGCCAGTGTGTGTGCCAGTGTGTGAGTGTGTATTCAACCGTCTTTATTTTGGGACAGGTGCCCGCTGAGCTGTACGAGGCAGTTACCATTTACTTTAGCGATATTGTTGGCTTCACCGAAATTGCGGCCGAATGCACGCCGCTGGAGGTAAGATTTCGCAATTGATATTCAAGTGTATTAAGGTACAGTGGACCCTCGCACGTAAGAATTGCTTAAGTTAACATTTTCTACAATTGGTATATAAAAAAAAACGAATCAATAATAATAAGTCATCAATAATCATTAGTTTTCAGTTAAAACAGTTGAAAAAAGGAAAACTAATAGAAACTTGAAATAATTTGAAAAACCTTTCGAAACTGGTAGCGTTCTTAGTTACGAGCGAGCACTGTGTATCAGAAAAGTTAAGATTTAATTGTAACTGAAATGTGGCAATTTATTGGACAGGTGGTGACCTTTCTCAATTCCATCTATCGTGTGTTTGACGAACGCATCGAATGCTATGATGTCTACAAAGTGGAAACCATTGGTGACTCCTACATGGTTGCCTCCGGGCTGCCCGTGAAAAACGGTAATTTATGCAAATTTCGCTGTCAGTCGCAACAGGCATTTACCCAGCTCACTGCACGTCTCCCAATCCCAACACGTAACCCCGAAACTCCTCCCAACTTCCCTCGCCTTGGTTGCGTTAATTTGACTTTGTGTGCCCGGCGCCCTAATTTATGCTGCGAAATGTTTGTGCAGCTCTTGCCACACAAAAAAAATTAAACATATGTTTGTCTGCTCTACCCTCCCAACCAACACCCCACCGCCGCAAACGGTTGTTGCCACAGGCAACAAGCACATCAGTGAGATTGCCACAATGGCACTTGATTTGCTGGACGCCTCTTCGGTGTTTCGACTTCCCCGTGCCGGCGACGAGTTCGTGCAGATACGCTGCGGCGTCCACACTGGCCCCGTTGTCGCCGGCATTGTGGGCACCAAAATGCCACGATACTGCCTCTTTGGCGATACAGTGAACACCGCATCGCGAATGGAGAGCACCGGCGAGGCGCAGAAGATTCATATCACCGAGGAGATGCACGAGGCGCTGCAACAGATTGGCGGCTTTAAGACCGAGCATCGCGGCCTCATCGATGTCAAGGGCAAGGGACTGATGAGCACCTACTTTCTCACCTGCAAGGATGGTCCGGTCCGGGTGCGTGAGGAGATATCGTGGTGTGCGGATATGCAGCCCGTCTTCCTAGATCATCTCAAGCTACATCCGCCGACAAACTACAAGCTGCCTAAACGAAAATGAGCGACAAGCAGCACAAGCAACAATTTGCCAATGAGCAAATTACTACTGTTAACCACCCCTCTGTGTGTTACATATATATATATGCAGATATATATATATATATATATATAAATGTGTGCGTAGCCATCTCTATATTTCTGTGTGTTTGTGATTGTTCGTCCTACTTATTCTGTCACGCCCAGTGGGCGTAATTAGCCCATCCATGTAATCTGCAGCATGGATAAAAATACGTTGCATAATTAGGTACAAGCTATATGATAGTTATACTCCGCATGTGTTTCATAAGGTTCTTTTATGATAGAATCCTCTGCATACACTGTGCCATCAAGAAACATATGGAGCCGCAGTAGCAACTGGAATACAGTAAAAACTCTCCTCGCGGATAATTTCACTTAATCATTTTAATTTTTATTTTTAATGTTTTTAAGTTAATTGTCCCAAAGTGTTTGCGCAAAAATAAATTCAATTAATAAACATTTTAGAAATTTACATGGTGCATCTTCATCAAAATTAAATGAATCAAAAATCCAAATCAAAGTAAATTTTATATACATATATATATGCATATAAATTATAAGTCAAGTGGAAGACACAGGGGAGTTTTTACTGTGCATAAATAACTACATGCAAAAAGTATTCATAAAAGATAAACAATGTTTGTAACACGAGATTAACTACATATAATATATATAATTAGCATATGCTACTTTCTATGTAGTTTGAGCTGGTTGCTCGAATAAATGTTATACTTATTCAAAACTTGGTGCTAAGTATGCCTAGCATGAACATTAGTTCGATTTTGAGAGTCTACTGGCTGCTGGAGCTGCTTGTGGGTTTCGCGTATGCTGATCGGGGCACCTTCACTCGGAATAGCGATGATCAGTTCCAGATGCTGATTGCCGGCGGTGTTATACCCGACCATAGCCAGTATGTGAAGAATGTGGTATCCATACGCACATTGCGACATATTCAATATTATGGCGATAATCATTTCTGCACCGGCGTAATCCTTGGCAGTCGCGCAATTTTAACAGCGGCTCATTGCGTCACCGAGTAAGTTGATATTTTTTCTTTTCTTTTGCAGTTATTGCTTGTAATTGTTATTTGGTCTTTGCAGTAGGCACAAGTCAATTATGAATCCACGCGGCTTACTGATCGTGTTCGGGAACTCCTATCGCCTGAACAGATTTAGCCGCGACGACAGCCGGCATGTGGATAAAATTCTGGTGCACCCGAAATATCGTCGATATGTCAATTACGATGTGGCTGTGATGCGCCTGATGGATCGCATACCCGGCAATATGCGGCTTGTACAACCAGTTGTCCGGCGAAGCCACAATGATCTTATTGTGGGCATGAGATGTGTCACACTTGGCTGGGGTCAGGTGTATCCGGTAGAGTAGTATAGTATTTGTTTGGCCATCAGCAAGGCCAGTTGACTATATAATTACGCATTTACATGGCAGCATGGTCCCTATGCCAATGAGATGATGTTCCTGGATGTCATCATTCGTACAAACGACTTCTGCAAGGACATGGATAACTTTGTGCCTGAGGCCAATATCTGTTCGGAGCCGTCAGCAGAGGGACAAGTTTGCCCTGGCGATTTGGGTGCTCCGTTGATGTGTCGCAATGACCTGAGTGGTATCATTGGTGGCGCACAGAGTTGTGAGGGCGTCACGGCAATCAAGTTTGTCAACTACTCCTATGTCGATGATTGGGTTGAGGATACCGTCAATGCGATATCCTGCAGCAACAGCATTTGGCTTTCACCATTTTTCTATGCTCTGCATATTCTGACAGCTGTTCAAGCTTTTGGCGCCAAGCAGTGTTGGTAAACGTAAACGTCAATTATTAAGCAGATTATTATAGTTGTAAGCAATGGACAAATATTGCATTATTTGTGTAACTATCAATTATAGAACGATGCATTATTTATGTTCCCAATTTCATTGTTTCGATTAATTTGTGAAATACAAAGAAAATAAAAAACATTCGCATCAAATTGGCAGCACTGTCATTGTTGTGTTCTGCAAGACGTATTTGTGTTTCGTATTTTGTCTTCCCACCGAGCTCTTTGCTCCAAACAGCTGATTGGCGGGGCACAGTGAATATGTAATAGTTGCCCCAAAACAACAATTGAAGTAAACCTTAAGCTATGCTACAACTAAGTCGAAATACCGCTAAAGCTGCACTGCAGCGTTGGCGGCCACATAAACTAGTCTCAACGTGGTCACCTCTGGCCACCGCCTTCAATGTGCCGCCAGCAAAGCGTATGAATTTCACACGCGACGATGTGGTAAATAAATATAAACTTCGAAATCTCCAAAAGTGTAATTAAAAATTATGCCACATTCAGGGGCTATTTCGCATGCCGGAGTTGCGCAACGCAGAAGGGTTCTATCTGCTGCGTGAGAATGTGGAGCACTCCACGCAGGAGCTGATTGGCGAAGCCACCTCCAGCCAGCGCAATCGCAAAATGGTCGACATCTTCGATGAGCTCTCCGATTCGCTGTGCAAGGTTGCCGACCTGGCCGAGTTCGTACGCATCGCGCATCCCAAGAACAAGTATATGCAGGCAGCGGAACAGGCCTGCATCAGCATTTGTGGCGTCGTCGAAAGCCTCAATACGCACAAGCCGCTGTATCAGGCACTCAGCCAGGTGGTGCAGCAGGGTGATTTCCTGCCTACCACAGAGGTGGATCAGCATGTGGCCAAACTGTTCCTATTCGACTTTGAGCAGTGCGGCATTCATTTGCCCGAGGCGGAGCGGTTGCGCGTCGTCCGGCTCAACGACTACATCCTACAGCTGGGTCAGAAGTTCATGAATGGCGCCGTGCAGCCCACGGTCCTCTCGCGCCACTGTGTGCCGGATGACATACGACAGTAGTGAGTGCCAGCTAACCTTTATAATTAAATATACAATTTTATTTACATTCCTGTTGCCCGCACAGCTTTCCCAGTGCTGGCGAGAACATTGTGATAACTGGACTCTGCACCAATGCCTCCAATGTGCAGATGCGTGAGGCGGCGTATCGTTTGTATCTGCAGCCCTCCGATAGCCAGGAGGAGCTGCTCAAAGATCTGCTGATGTGTCGCTACGAACTGGCGCGCAGCTGTGGCTTCGAGACCTATGCACATCGGGCACTCAACGGCAGCACCATGGAGCGACCCGAAATCGTCTCCGAATTCATTGATGAGCTGTCGGAGCAACTGCGTCCGCGTGCCGATGCCGACTTCTCGCTAATGTCTCAAATGAAGCGCAAGGAAAGCGGTTTGAATAATGCTCTGGTGGAGATCTGGGATACTCCATACTTTACCACACAGTTGAAGCGACAATCGCTCGAGGAGCAGGCCAATGAGTTTCTGCCCTATTTCTCATTGGGTGGCTGCATGGAGGGATTGGACAATCTGCTTCACTCGCTATACGGCGTTCGTCTGCAAAACACCGAAATGGAGCCGGGCGAAAGCTGGCACAGTGACATCTACAAGCTGGCCGTGGTCCACGAGCAGGAGGGTCTGTTGGGCTACATCTACTGTGACTTTTTCGAGCGCAGCGGCAAACCCAATCAGGATTGCCACTTTACCATACAGGGCGGCAAGCGGCTGGCCGACGGCACCTATCAACTGCCCATTGTGGTCGTGATGCTGGGTTTAGCCCAGCCACGCTGGACGGGTCCCACACTTCTGTCGCCCGCCCGCCTCGACAATCTGTTCCATGAGATGGGCCATGCAATGCACTCGATGCTGGCCCGCACCGAATATCAGCATGTGACTGGCACACGCTGTGCCACGGATTTCGCAGAGGTGCCCAGCGTGCTCATGGAATACTTTGCGAGTGATCCGCGCGTGCTGCGCACCTTCGCGCGCCACTTCCAGACGCACAAGCCCATCTCGGAGGATATGCTGCAGCGCCTGTGCGCCTCCAAGCATTTGTTTGCCGCCAGCGAGACCCAGCTGCAGGTCTTCTACTCGGCCCTGGATCAGGTCTATCACAGCGATGCGGCGCAACAGGGCGCCAGTACGACGGAAACTTTGCGCGACGTCCAGAATCGATACTACGGATTGCCGTATGTAGAGAATACGGCGTGGCAGCTGCGCTTCTCCCATTTGGTTGGCTACGGCGCCAAGTACTACGCATATCTGGTATCGAAGACAATCGCCTCGTGGATCTGGCAGACGTACTTCGAGGCTAATCCCTTCAACCGCCAAGCGGGCGAGAAGTATCGAGCCGAGATCTTGGCGCACGGAGGCGCTGTTCCAAGTCGCAAACTGGTCGCGAATTTTCTGCAGCGCGAATTGACGCCGAGAATACTGGCAGACAGCCTTATACACGAGATTGACATGGACGAGTCGAAGATCAAGGAGCTGATCATTAGCAGAAACTAGGCTTTTTCTTTTTTTTTTTGGCCACAAAACGCTTGTAAATAATGGTTTGTTTTTAATTATAATTAGTTAACTGCTCCATGGTTTTTTTTTTGTACATAGCGAATTTAGTTATGCTTGCCTTAGGCAGGCATCACAGCTGGCATCAGTTCGACGCCAACGAATTCCTTGGCGATTCGCACCCCAAGGAAAAACATGCCAAAGCTCTTCACCAACATCCTGGAAAAAAAAGTTGGGTTATGTAAAGATTATGTTGCCGCAACAGAAGGCGCCTTGTGACACTTACCACTGGAATTCATTGTGATAGATATTGCGTATAATGTTGAAAGGGTTTCCAGCTTTCGCCATTGTGAGCAATTATTTTTCTATCTTACTTATTTAACGTTTGACTTCTGTTTTGCTTTTATGCCGTCGCAACAGTGAACAAATATTACAAAGAAAACAGAACGCTCACTGTATCTGAATAAAGTTTACTAGTATTTTTTTTCTCTTTGTTTAGTATTTCAAGTGAGCTAAGGTTCCAGTTGTTCTGAGTACGCCAGTTCCGAAAATCATGATTCCAATAGTTCATTAACTAAGAAAAAACGCATATATTTGGTTGAATTAACTTTTTGACAACAGAACTGCATAACACATTTAATTACTGCCCACCAAAGAGATGTGTGGTAAGAAGTTCTACTACGTCAAAAATAATCCTGCTGATTACACTTATTCTTTTGCACACTGTTCATTCAAGAGCTGAACGAAAGAACTAGTTCTCACCAGAAATTCACTACATACAAAATACAAGAAGTTGGTCACACTAATTCCCCGGTCAATTGCACGTGCAGCGCCAAAACAAGTAAATTTTGGAGTTTGCTTGGAATTCATTTAATAGCCATGGATAACGCCAAAGATGAGGTTGAAATGGAGGTTGTGGAGCCAGAGGACGCTGAGAGCGACATGGAGAGCGATGATAGCGACAACGACGAGGAGACCGAGGCTGATGGCACCACAAAGACAACCAAACAGGTCTACTTGCCAGGCAAAACGATAGCAGAAGACGAGGAACTGGTGTGCGATGAGAGCGCCTATGTAATGCTGCACCAAGCATCCACGGGCGCACCTTGTCTGAGCTTCGACATCGTACCAGATGAGCTGGGTAAGGGTCGGGAGAGCTTTCCAATGACGGCTTACATCGTTGCCGGCACTCAGGCGTCGCGGACTCATGTCAACAATCTGATTGTTATGAAGATGAGCAATCTGCACAAGACACAGGATGACGATGGGGAGAATGACGATGATGATGAAGAGCTGGAGGATGACCAAGATGATGTGGCCGACAAGAGTGAGCTTAAGAAACCGGAAATGACCTGCGCTCTCATAAAGCATCAGGGATGCGTGAATCGTGTTCGCGCCAGGCGCATGGGTAACAATGTGTTTGCAGCCTCGTGGAGTGAGCTGGGACGCGTGAACATCTGGAATCTTTCACAGCAGCTGCAGGCTGTCGAGGATGCACAGCTCCTTAAGCAATATGAACAGCAGAGCCTGGGTAGTGATGTACCTGGATCCCGGCCCATCTACACGTTCAGTGGACATCAGCAGGAGGGATTCGCAATTGACTGGAGTCCCTGTGCCGAGGGAGTGTTGGCCACGGGTGATTGTCGACGCGATATACACATCTGGAGTCCGCTCGAGGATGGCACCTGGAAGGTGGATCAGCGTCCGCTGTTGGGTCACACTGCCTCCGTGGAGGATCTGCAATGGAGTCCAAACGAGCGCAGTGTGCTGGCCTCCTGTTCAGTGGACAAGAGCATACGCATCTGGGATTGCCGTGCAGCACCGCAAAAGGCTTGCATGCTTACCTGCGAGAATGCGCACGAGAGCGACATCAATGTGATCTCGTGGAATCACACGGAGCCCTTCATTGCCAGCGGTGGTGACGATGGCTTCCTGCACATCTGGGATTTGCGTCAGTTTAAGACACAGAAGCCCATTGCCACATTCAAGCATCATACGGATCATATAACGACTGTCGAATGGAATCCCAATGAGGCAACAGTTCTTGCCTCGGGCGGCGATGATGATCAGATCGCATTGTGGGATCTGGCTGTGGAGAAGGATGCCGATCAGGCGCAGGCGCCGGCACAAAATGAGGATGAGCTCAATAAGCTGCCGCCGCAGCTGCTCTTCATTCATCAGGGCCAAAAGGAGATTAAGGAGTTGCACTGGCATCCACAGATGCCGGGCGTGCTCCTCTCCACGGCGCACAGCGGCTTCAACATCTTTCGCACAATCAGCGTATGAAGAGTCGCAGCTATAATCACAATCTATCCGATAACCAAATTAGCTCCTAGACGACAACAACAAATATATAAATAAATATAATTTTGACACAAGTGCCTGGCTTATTTTTATTGTGGCTTCTGTTTCAGTGGCGGGGGTGGTGAAGCGGGTGTGTCATTGGCATTGTCTTCCTCCTCATCCATCAGCATCGTGACATTGATTAGATGACGCATCGTGGGACGACCGTGCGGGCAGTTCTGTAATTGCAATCAAAGCAAATAGAAAATTTACATGAGAATCAAGTTAAACTTGTCGCTATCAGTTCCATAAACGGATAAACGGGATTGCCAAATGAAATATAGCCTGCCATTAGAGAGTTTAGTGTTCCGGAAGTCGCAGCAGCTGCATCAATTGGGCGCCATTTCTTTCTATATCTGCCGACCGCTTGCCTCGGTGGAGCTACTGCTGCTTGGACGGTTGTTGGTTGGCCTCGCTGGCGGCCTGGTGACGGCCTGTATGAACTTGTATCACAGTGAGCTGGCTGCACTACAGCAGCGCAGCAAATTGTCGCCGTTCTGCCCCTTGGGCTTAGTGTTGGGCGTGGTGGTGGCCCAAATCTGTAGTCTTCAATCGGTGCTGGGCAGTGAGCAGCATTGGCACATTGCGCTGGCCTTCTTTGGCATCTTTGTGGTGATCTCTTATGCTCCCTTCAAATGATATTTTAAAGGCACGCAAAGAAGCGGCGGCAAGGCAACTGCAACTCTTGCGCGGCTATGCGGCAGACAGCGAGGCGTTGCGTGCCGAACTGGAGGACATAGAGAATGAGGCGAACGTGCAGAGCACTCCGAGCACCTTTATTCAGGTGCTGCGCAATCCGAAACTGCGAATGCCTTTGATCATTGTCTGCGCATATTTGGGCGGGCAGCAGCTATCGGGCATAAATGCGGTGGGTTAGATGCAGTTGCTCATGGAAGGTATTAATCTTGATTGCGCTTATCTGTTTGCAGATCTTTTACTATTCGGTGTCCATATTTCGCCGGACGGGACTTACTGCACAGGCGGCGGAGTGGACCAATCTGAGCGCTGGCTGCACAAATCTGGCCACCGCGCTGCTGGGACCCATTTTGATGGAGCACTTTAATCGCCGACCTCTGATGCTCTTCTCCACCCTCTTCAGCTGCATTTTCCTCTTTCTGTTTGCCATTTTGCTGCAGCTTATTGTGAGTTGTGTGTGGGTTGGGTTTTAAGGTACTCCTGTCATTTTTTTTGTCAACTTTCAGGATTACTGCAGCTGGTTTGTTATGTTGCATTGCCTGCATATTTTTGTACCTTGTTGTCTTCTAAATTGTTCTCGGACAGCTGCCTTTCTTCATTAGTGCAGGTAGGTTTCACCTTCAGCTGAATGGTTTGCCTATTTATTAATGATGATTCCCCTCTATACGCTTCCACATGTAAATCTTTTTACCTTCCTTCTGCCTCCCATTGTCTCTGTCATCCTGGACAGATCTCTTTGAGGTTGCACCACGTTCCGCTGCAATGTCCGTGGGCAGCGTTGTCTATTGGTTGTGCAATCTGACCATTGGCATGGCCTTTCCCAGTTAGCAGAATGCATGGGGTGCTTTAGTGTTTCTGCCGTGCTCGTTGATTTGCCTGCTGCTGTTTGGGCTGACGAAACGCTACTTGCCGGAGACCCGTAGTCGAGATCCATCCGAGGTGGCGCCGCTGGTTGCCAACGGCTTTAAATCAAAACGGCTCAGACAATGATTAAGTTTAGTTATGCTGCTGCAACAGCTCTAATAAATTTCGATAGGATTAGCGCTTCACTTAGATTAAAAAGTCGACAAACAATTGCTTTCAGCTCTTAGTTGATCATGGATAGTGCAACAGAGCTGATGAAAGTGACGGGCGTGGTTCAGCGTCGGCCGCAGTGGACCCGTTTACTGATCTGGAGCACATTGGGAAGCACCATTGGCACCGCTGTGCCTGGTGGTTATTGCATGGCCATTATCAATAATCCCGCCGTGGTAAGCTGGCTAAACTCACAGCCATTCCAAAAAGTATTCCAGCTGAGCTATTGGGCTCTCTTGCAGCACATGCGCTCCTGGTGTGAATTGACCTTGCTGCAGAATTATGGGTGGCAGCTGACGCCCGCTGCCCTGGACACACTTTGGGCGTTGATTGTGTCCATCTACTTGATTGGCGGCGTTTTAGGCTCCGCCTGTGCTGGCTGGGCAGCGAATCGATTTGGTCGACGTGGTTGCCTTTTGCTCAGTTGCTCACTGATGCTGTTGGCGGCTTTTGGATTTTTTTGCTGCCGTCTTCTGCAGTCGGTGGAGGTGCTGCTGCTCTGTCGTCTGGTGGTTGGATTAGGCGCTGGTCTAATAACTACCTGTCTGCCCATGTATCACAGTGAAATTGCAGCATTGACGCAGCGTGGCACTTTGGGCGTCTGCTGTGCGGTAGGCTTCTCCATTGGCATTTTGCTCGCTCAGATCCTTAGCATGGATGGGCTGTTGGGTGGCGAACAGCATTGGCATATTGCTCTTAGCTTTTATGCGGTCTTCATCGTCATTTGCTTTGCTCCGTTTCGCTGCTATGCTGAGAGTCCCAAGTGGTTGTACATTGTGAAGGAGCAGCGTGAGAAGGCGCTTCGCATGCTTGGCCGTTTGCGTGGCAGCAAGTTCGATTTGCAGCAGGAGATTGGGGTCATGGAACAGGAGGCAGCCGGCAAGTGCCGCAGTCGCAGTTTGGGTGAAGTCCTCAAGGACAAAAGAATGCTGCTTCCACTCGTCCTGCTCTGCGCTTATCAGGGTGGCCAGCAGCTGACCGGCTGTTCTTCGGTGAGTTGAAAGACTTCTCCTCATTTCTAATTATTAATTTATTAACTTTGTCCGTCAGATTTTCTACTACTCCGCAGACTTATTCAGGAGCAGCGGTCTCTCTCCAATAGCAATTGAATGGTTGGTCCTGGCCGTTGGGAATGTCAATTTGCTCATGTCACTGCTGAATCCTTTGCTCATGGCTAATTTTAATAGGCGCACTCTGATGCTGCTCTCCAGCTTCTTGTGTGCGTTGCTCATGTTTGCCTTTGGCTTGCTTGTCAAATATAGCGTAAGTCTTTTGCCATCAAATCTCCAAATTCCCGTCTATATAGCTGTGTACTTCTTGCAGTCAATGATACCCTGGTTAACCTATGGTACCATTGCCAGCATATTTCTTTTCCTTATCGCCTTTCAGCTGGCCCTGGCTGCCATGCCCTCCTTTATAGGCACAGGTATTGTATTGTACTAAATTATTTTAATGTCTCTATTCACATTGTCTTTGCATTTCAGAGCTCTTTGAGGTGCCATCGCGTTCGGTGGCCAACTCCTTGGGCAATCAAGTGGGCTGGGGTTGCAATTTCTTGGTGGGCTTTCTGTTTCCCACAATGCACACATTGCTGGACTTTTGGGTGTTCATTTTATTCTCCTTCTTCAGCTTGCTGCTCTTCTTGCTGACTAAAACCTATATGCCCGAGACGCGGGGACGAGAGGTTTCTGTTGTTGCCGAATTGGTTTCTCGTGGATTTAAAAGCAAAGTACGTTAAATGTTTGATTCATTTAAGGAATGTATAATTCTTATAATTATTATCAGGGGCATACTTTGTAGCACTTATATCACTTAAGGGTGTTTAATATAATAAAAAACGAGAAAGAGCATCTATCCATCTATCCAAGCAACCCGAAGATTATATGACCTGCATGCAACTAAATCTAATGGGACAGAATAAGCCCGTCGTAATTATAAATACCACATCCAAATATCAAAGACTTATCTTGTTGGCATAGAACAGGCTTTGATATAATTATTCTCGACTTACCCAGGGCTGCTCAATTTCGCCCATTTGGGTGATTAGTCGGCGCATTGTAGTGCTTCTGTGTAGTGCCTTGCCAATCATGACGGACTTTCGGCAGGCACGTGAGGCGAACATCGCGCGAATGCGCGAAGGACGACAAATTGTGCCCTCGGGCGCATCCTGGAGCATGAAGATGAGCTCATCAATGTCCTCCTTGCCAAATTCCCAATTCTTGCTATATGGTTTGCCCAGAAGACGCACCTTTTGCGTAGCGGGTGCTGTGAATGGAGAGCAATATTTACGAAAGGCTATAAAAGTATTTATGCCCATCAGTCATTACCATCCGCATTGATCTCGAATTTAAAGCCATTCTTTTCGAAGACCGGCAAATAATCCTGTAGTATCATCTCATTGACAGCCGTCAGTTCCAGCGTTTGTGGCACCGTCAGACGCTGATGCTCCAACTGCGTGGTGCGCTGCAGTGTCTCAAAATTGTATTTCTCATCGGCTGCATGCTGATCAACAATGAAGAGATCATCATCTAGCTTGACTATGATGAAACCCAAATTGAATTGTCCAATAATTTGCATGCGCTCGAAATCTGCCTTCGTAATTTCCTTTTGCAGTTCCGCTTCGGCATTTTGATTTTGATTCGGATTGATTTCGCTCTTGAAACGCAAACGCTGCAGTTTGTTGCAACTCTTGCGCTGCTCACGTTGCTGCTCTTGCGCCTGCAAGCTGGCCGCGATCTCCTCGAGAGTGGTTCGCAGCTCGCCGCTGGCAATGTTTGGCGGTGCGTCTTCTGAATCACTGTTGCCATCAAACTCAATGCGCGTGGGCATTTCAATTTCATCATCGCTGTATTCCGTGGTTGTTTGTGGTAAGGCTGATGCATGATCTTGGTCGGATTCCATTAAAGCGGTCTCTGACGTGACCTTAACTGGAGTAACCTTCGACTTGGCTTTAACTGGAGTAACCTCCGGCTTTAACTCTGCGATGCATTGTCTTGCTTTCAGAGGCGTCAGCGTTTTGCAATCAATGCGTGTAACTTTTGTTGGCTGCAACAGCTCATCATAGGCTACAAAATAATAATAAATAATTAAAAATATTAACCAGCTAATTGTCGCAACACTTACCCAATGACTCCTGCTTGAGCTGTTTCAAGCTCACAAAACTGCTATTGGGGCTGATGTTCGATGACTCCAGATTAGTCGCTGCGTCTTCTTCCGTTTCCCAGTCGCGTTTGGAGCTGCATTCTTTGGGAGGCTCTTGTGTTAGAAAATCCTGTATCTTTTGCAGCTTCAGGGCACGTGCGTTGATCTCTTCAGTTTCGTCACAACGTCGCTTGGCAGTCGTAGGCGGTGCCACGCCTTTTGTGTCGCCTGTACGCCGCCACTGCGTCAACACATCCATGAAACGCTGCGACGAGCTAATGGGCACATCAGCCTCAGTTTCCAGCTCAGCACCTTCGTTTCCATTAGTTTCTTCGCTCTTGGGCTTGAGCTCCAACATGCTGGCTATGGAAATGTTTTGCATTTGAAATGTGGAGGGCAGGTTGCCGAAAGTGTCCAGCAGTGACTTCTTCAGAGCCAACAGCAAGATCTTCTCATTGTTTAGCAGTAGTTGACGCTTATCAGGCGTCAGATTCACATCCACCTCGTCGCGTGCCGTCACAATGTTGAGATAAATAAATGGCTGCTGCTGCACATTATATCGATGGTAGACATCGTTCATTATCTTGGCGATCTGTGAAAGGATAGAAAGACAGCAATGAATAGTTTATACTCTGCTGTTGCTTCATTTGCTACTAACACTTTTTGGTTCACAGGGACGTGCATTGACAAAGAAGAACTGACGATCTCTGGCGGATCTGCCTGCGCCGTGACGACAGCTCGATATGTAGCCCTCCAGCTGAAAGTCAGCTTGATTCAGTCGCTGCACATCCTCGGAGCTGAACTGTGTGCATGTGGTTTCAGCCACATCGCTTGTGGACTGCAGCTCTGCCCGTAAACACTCCTCACTGAGTTCACCAGCCTCAAACGGTGACTTAAGTGGCACCAAATCGGCCACTTGTCTTGCCCCAAACACCGCCGATATGTTGGCCAGCACATCCGCAGCACCGTGCGTCTGCAACACCACCGATTTGACGCCCTTCGGCGTGTGATTGCTGCAGATAATACGCACGCTTGTGGTAACCAGACAATAGGCCTGCAATATCTGGCACATCTTTGTGAATTCCTTTTTGATATTACGCGTGAAGTCGCGTCGTCTCACGGGTAGCGTGGCAAACAGATTACTTAGCGTTACGGTAGTTCCCACGCCGCGAGCGCATGGCGAACGTTTCTTGATTTTACCCTCATGATCCAGCTCGATTTTCAAAGCTGCAAAAGGCAATAAAGTTTCGTTGAAGTTGCAGCTGGTGACATACAAATAGACAACGACTTACCGACATCTGTGGACTTGTGACGCGTCTGGATGGTCATGTCGGAGAGGGCACAGAGCGAGCTGAGCGCTTCGCCACGAAATCCAAATGTCTCCACGCCCAGCAGATCGACAAATTCGCGTATTTTGGATGTGTGATATTTGGCCGCTGTAGAAACAGTCACAGAATAGAGATCATAATCAATTACAACTCCTGGTCAACATACTCATCCCCTCCAGATTTGCCTCCTCGACACCGCTGCCGTTGTCACAGACCTCGACACCTTGCAGTCCCTGATCCCTGAGCTTTACCTCGATAAGTGTGGCTCCCGCGTCTATGGAATTTTCCACCAGCTCCTTAATAGCGACTGCCAAACTGAGCACCACCTAAATACAAAATAAAAGCCAATTAAATATTTGCAACACAATTTTGTTTTGATTTCCTTGCTTGCCTGTCCCGAGCAGATCTTGTGCACAGTGTCCTTGGCAATGGCTTTGATTTGACCCGAAGCTGAACTTGTGGGAGTTGGCACTGACACATCTTCCTCAATTTCACTCATGATTAGCGTATTTCGTAGGACCAATCCATAAAATAACACAACATATACGAAACCCGCGCATTCGTCTGATAAGTGTTGCCCTACAAAAAAAAGGGAGCAGTGTTGCCCTAGCACCATAAACAAAAATTACTAAAATGTAGAAGTTTAGCGGGATTTTGAAACAGAAATATGCAACACTTTTATTTTACTTTTTCCTAACATTTATTTATTGAAGGTAATACAAACATGAAAAATGTCTTAATAATAATAAAGTGTGTCAGCTAATAATTGATGAATCGTAAATAGTTGATGGTTCACAAAATAATTGAATAATAATATGTAGACATAAAAGTTGTGTGATGAAATGTTTTTTGGCATATGTATGTATATAAATTGTGTCAAATATTTAATAATTATGTCAATATAATGATGTGTAACAATGTAATTTTCTAGCATAATTGGAGCCTAAGTAAGTGTTTGCTTAAACATACATAAATGTAGCTGGATATAGTCCACAGGGTCTAGGATTCGCATTGCTTTTGCGGTAATCTCAATCTGCATTTATTTGCTCTTCTCATTCGCGATTACCTCCAGTTTTTCAATAATCTTATTCATATCCATATCCTTGGCGATCTTTACATACATTGTCTTTCGAACTTCGTGGAATGATGCCCACGATGGCAGCTCCTTTGCAAGCAATTTCAGATGTGCCTCAATCTCCTGCGGCGTTAGATTGGCACGGAAACTATTCTGGATCTTCTTAATGATGATCTCCAGAGTTAAGACGCTCTTTCGCTCCGTCACAAAAACGTTGCGCAGATGTCGCGCCAATTCCGGCAGGCGTGTATATTTGGTTGCCTCCTGATCCTGTGACGGCCGTCGCGTCATTGCATCCAATGCCTTGGCCGCCTGCTTGGCGCGTATTTTCTCAATTAGTGACTTGGGCAGACCCTTGAGCAGATTGCTTTTGACATCGTCCCTTGCTGCTGGCGTGCACTCCTTAACCGTAGGTGGAGCCGTGGATGTTTCTGTCAGCAATTTGATATTGGCATTAGTTTGTATTGCAATTGTGTTTGTGGTTGTTGTTGTGCCGCTTAGTGTTTCCTTTGGTTGATTACTATTGTCATTGGCTATGAGTCTGTCCGCCTCCAGTTTGGCCTCATAGCGTTCCATTGTCCGCTCCATGGGAGTGGCGCAGTTGAATAGATTTCGAGCCGTCGATAGTATGTCTTTGGCCGAGGAATATTTCTCCACATTTGGTGGATGCGGCAGCATTGCTAGCTCCACATCTCGGCAGCTTTCCAGATCGAACTGTGGATGCCAGCGCGTTAGCTTCTTGTCAATGATAATGGGTGGATCCAGGGAGCGTACGAACTTATCATGCTCCTCCATTACACGCTGCAGCAGAAGCTTTTGGAATTTTTGCATGCGTGCCGTCATTACGTGTGGATTCATGGACGTCGACTGTGCCGACGCGAGCACATCGTCTTCATTGATTTTATTGAGGCGATGCTGTTCCGGCAGCTGTTCCACATTGGGACTGATAACCAGCTGATGGTAATCAGCCTTCGACACCGAACCATAGTTTCGCATCTTCATCTGCGAAAAGATAAAGGCCTCCGGATAGAGGTGCTTGATCTGAGACAAATGTGTTTCCGTAAAGTTCTTGCGCAGCATACGCTGAACGGCCGGCTTCAGCTTCTTGAATGTGATGCATTCCTTGCGATTGTGGAACATGGCTACCACCGAGTCCAGACCCTTGAAAATCTCCAGCAAATTCCGATATTTGTACGGCAACGGCAACTGACCCGCTTTGCTCGTCTCGGCCAGGCTAGCAAATCGCTTATATGCTGGCAGCTCCAGCAGCTTGACGGGCGAACCATTCTTGGCCGGGCTAAACAACAGTCGCTTGGAGACGTCCGTGTGACGCGGCGACATCAACTCATTTTTGTCCGGTGTGGCTGGCGGCAGTTTTGTGGGTGTCTTGAATGTCTTCAATGGGCTGCAGAATTTATGACATGAATACAATTAATTAGTCAACAAATAATAATAATAATAATAATAAAACAGAGTTCAACTTCCCTAGAATCTTATTTAAGATTGCAAGCTGTGACAAGCGAAAAATATGTGTGATAGAAATCAACTTGGCGCACTTTATTCGCTATAGGGAAGTTTGACTGTACTTATACATTTTGAGAAACACCCTACAAGGTCATAATCATGTAAAATAAATTAGCAAACAAAAAAGTTAAAGCTTCAAAGCTTTGTCAAAAATATATTTGCATACATGTCTAATACGAAGAAATCTAAATGATGCAATATGATAAAGAAAAAATGCAAGAATCATAGTCATAATCTGTACTACCTATTAAAGTACTTCCATACGACAGTTTTCTAATGTTTCTGCCCCTTTTTCTCCCAAGTACTTTCATTTTGAAGAAAACCTGTACTTTATCTTATAATATTCAAGTTTTGAGTTCTTACAACCCCGAAAAGAACCAGACACAAATGCAAAATCCTATTAGAAAATGACAAAAACGCTGATGCAGTTAGACTTGGGATACTAACAAATAACAATCTACCCCGAGCATAACAACAACAAAAAACCGTTACAACATTTGGTCAGCTACCTGAGTGCCTGCTGAGAGTCAAAAACATTCCCATGCAGGCGATCAGATAAACAACCCCCGAGTAATAATGGTAAGGTCAGGCAAGAATTTAACGTTTGCTTAGCGAAGGGTAAACATAGCGTTGCATTCGTTGAAATACAGATACACACGCACACATACACACACACATATACACGTGTATGTATGCTGTAAGCAACTGCAGCATAAATTCAAGTACATATGCATATGGAGCGTTTAATGTTTCATAGATCACAAACGTCACGAAACAACAACAACAAGAATAGCAAGCTTGGCCAAAGAAATGCAATTTCAGCAATTGGCCGCTTAAATAACAGCATACGAGCAGATTACGCCAAAGCGAAGCCATATGCCCAAGACCAAAGCGTACAATAAAAACACCATGCCCCCCGCTCGGCGACCTCGATAGCAGTTTTGTTAAAAAACGACTATGGTTTTTGGTAATGATGTTACCCGGTTTTTTGTTGTTGATTTGTTTACGTTCGTTTCTAGGCCAAAAGCGCGCTCGAGAATTTATTATTGTGGCAGGCGCGTATTCTCACCTAGTCAGCACCTCCAGCTCGATCGTATCGAACTCCTTCAGCTGCACACTCTTTGCCGCCGCCGCCGCCTTCGAGGGCGATGGGCCCGCCTCGCGAAGTCGGCGATTACGTTCCTCCTGTGCCTTGCGCTGCTGTTCCAGTTGCGCTTTGCGCGCTAGCACCGCCTTCAGCTCCTGCATTTTGGCGCTGCGTGAGATCTTTGTCTTCACCTCATCGAAGGTGAGGCCCCGTTTGGCCAGATCGATGTGCTTGATGGGCGATGCATCCTTGATGATCTGTTTGGTGGGTGTGCTCATTCCACTCTGCATATTGTCCGTCGCCAACTTGGGCGTATGCTCATTGTGGATCTGTGCCTCTGTTGACGCATTGCAGGCTGGTTGCTTCCGAGGCGAAAGGTTACCTTTGCGTATGAACTGCACGAGTTTGGCCTGCTTAATGTTTGTCTCTATATTGCTTGGCTTTCGCTTTGTCTCTTGAGACGCTGCCGTTGGCTGTACGCCAATAAGTTTGACAGTGCGCCCGGATCGTGTCCGTATGCCGGGCTTAAGTGCATCCATGTCCACATCCTGATCTGTGGATGCACCTGGCAGCGCTATATGTTTGGGGCCAGCAACCTCGGTGGGTTCTGCAAGCCGCTGCAAAAAAAAAAAAACAAGAAAATTGATTTGTGTCTCAAAATGGCCGCAGGACGCAGCATGCCACACACACACACACACATACACAGACAGGAGACACATAATTTAAAGAATATCTGCAATAGTTGTTCTGGAATTTCAGTTCATTCTTATATTATACACTTGGTGCACGTTTTTTGATAAACACCCACACACGCACACAGACTTACCCTGGTCTTAATTGTGGTCGCATCTTCCACAGCGGCGCGTTTGCGATTGCTAAAAAATGCAGCTATCGATGGCTGTGCCATGATTGCAATTTGAATATGTTTCTATGTATTTAACGCTATATGCTTGTCGGTTTTGTATTGCTTGGACAATTTCACACTTGGCACGTCTGGCTTATGGGTTTTGGTGGTATCTCACTTTATTCTTATACGTCTTAACACTGCCACTGCTCGAATTACAACTGGGCCACGACGATGCAGTTTCCCTCCAAATATTCAACGACGCGCCAAATTATTTTCGCGCCATTTCAATGGCGCGTGTATTGCAAAACGCCGTTGTACAGCTGTTTGTTCATAATTAATTGTTTTACAACACTGTTCGAGACGCTGGCATTTTGCGTAGCAGATTTTTGCAATAGTAAAAAAACAACAACGATAACAGTTCTAGCACATGTCCTTGCATCGCTATCAAATTAGGAACAATTAATAAGTGTATAAGATACAATTACACTGTGATTCTTGCTGTTTGCATTAATCAGCTGTTTTGACACGATCAAAGACTTCTCTCTTTCGCGATATTTCGATAGGAAATATAACAAAGTCAGCCATTACATCGCTACATATCGCCATTTAAATTATCGATAGTTGTTATTGTGAATCCAGGTTTCACACACGTTTCTGTTATATTATGATAATAATTGTTACCTTGTTGACATTTAATTTAACATTTTGATTAAAATTTTACGTATTGCTAGCGATTGTACACAACAGCTGACTTCTCGTTTCGGTCTGTCGCTTACCAACTCTGATCAGTAGTGTTGCATTTTGAGCAGTAGATTTTTCCACTCGCGGATTTTAAGGTGCGCAGCAACGTTTTGGCTCCAAGTCCATGCGTTTGTACGACACAATGCCTTTGAATTAGCATGCTGAATCGTTCAAAGTTATGTAAGTTGACAGCATAAATAAAACACACGTACTTCTGCAAGCAAGGAGCTCAAAAAAATTCGAAATCAAATGTGTGCCACAATTTCTGTGAAAGCGAGCAAGCACTAGCGCCGCTAATGTGTGTGTGTATGCGTGCATGTGCGAGTGGGCACACGCTAAGAACTAACCAGCAGAAGACAAGTGTTGCCAACTTAGCTAATTTTAGTCGCATTTCCAATCTGCACATTTTTCACAATTTTGAAAAGCTTTCGAGGCACTTTTCAAAAGTCAACTCAATTGTAATCAATCTACAGTTTGTCAAATTGTAAAGAATGGTGTAAGTAGCGACTTGTGTACAGTGTGAACAGTGCAAGTGAAAAATATAAGTTGGCAGGGCCATTTTGTCATTCATTCATTCGCTCATCTCGCATTTGTTTGATTTTTTCGCTATGGCATTAAATTGCCAGATTCGCTGTAATTGATAAAATGTAATGGCAATCATGTTTTAATAAATAACATTTCATTCGCTTATTTCGCAACGATAATAGTTCTTTTTGTGCAGAATTCCAATTGAAGTGACAACAGCAGCCGCAGCCGTCTCAATTGGAACAAGTGGCAGCCCGAGGCAAAAAGACGGACGATTGGTTAACGTTTGACGAAGCCCCAGCATAGACGACAACCGACAGACAAGGCGTGCGCATACTAACAACAACACCAACAACAGCAGCCGCAATAACAACAACAAAAGCAGCAACAACAACAAAAGCAGCAACAACAACAGTAACAGCACCAACAACAACACAATACAAATACAAACGTAAACGTAAACGTTTTTTGCATTGCCTTATTGAGATTTCAGCACATTTTTTTTGTGGTTGTTTCTCGAACAGCTGTTACATTGGATGAAAATTAGCGGAGGCGACAGCTGCAAAATATAAAAAAAGCGAATATCACAAAAAGCAAAAGCAAATAACAACAACTACAGCGTCTACAAAATGAATTCGAAAGCTGACGTCAACCGACGAGTTCTGGCTATTCAAGCTAAGAAGAAGCGACATAAGAACAACAAGAAACGCGGCAAGCAAAATGGAGCCACCGCTCCCGTCCAAGAAAACCAGCAACAACAAGAACAACAACAACAACAGCAACTGTCGCAACAAAATAGGAGCAGCGACATTAGCGAGCAACTGCCCGCATCAACATCAGCAGCTGCAGCACCAGAAAATGCTAAAAATAACCAGATCATCGAGGGCGCCAGCCAGTTTCAACTGCATGTTGATGGCGCAGTTAATTCTAAATCAGCCATTGCATCCTTTTCGCATGCCAATGTGTCCACGTCCAGCGGTTCGGTGGGTAACACGAATTCGCAGTCGTTGACCATGAAAAACAATATGAACAATCAGCAGCCGGTGCGCAGTTCATCCAACGAATCGGACGAATCCGAGATGAACAGTGAGAATGAGGAACAGGAACTTCAGGAGGATTACTGCAAGGGCGGCTATCATCCGGTTAACATTGGCGATCTGTTTAACGGTAAGAGAGAGATACCAATACGCTATATCATCCGATATGAACAATAACACCATGGCGATGTCACCTGTTTGAAACTCACACCCACACATGACAACAGCAAGTCAAATAACAATACGGTTTCGTCGCATGCCTCTATGCATACCCTTCCCATAGATTCTAGTCTGTTAATCATACCAATTGTGCTTCTCATTTGCCTATATCGATTCCACCAATTTGACACCATTAGCAGAAAACTAAACAACACAGGGATTAGCTGTGTATGACAAGTTAGAATCAAAAACAATCGAATTCGAAAATGAAGGGATTTGTTTCTTATAAATTAGTTATTATATGTTCTCTTTTAATAATTAATTTAATCCTATCATTTTGGCAACCAGTTTCACAGAAAATCGAATTATAAAGAGAACAACTCTTAACCACAAATCGCTATCGTGTCAACGTTAAGATAGTTTCATTAACACCACTTTTCTAAGTGCTTCACTTGACTACAGATTCATTTATAATTATTGTATGCATGCTCCAAAGCCCAATGTTTTGCTGACTTCAACAACTCGTTCGTTGATTTCACCTAATTCCAATGTTTCAGTTTAGAATTTCATCAGTTCTTGCTCTCTCGACGGTTCACAGTTGATTGATTTGATTGACATATTGATTTTGTAGAGTATTCAAGCTTCGCCATACTTTGACTTTAGCTACAAAAGACCCACTTCGTGTTGCACACGACATAAACAATAAAACGCAGTCCTTTTCCTGTTTTTTGGGGAGCTGTTGTGCAACCCTACCAATCCCCAAAATATATATTTGTGTTGGCATGATTCTGTTGTTACCTTTGTGCCACACACAACAACAGGTTGTCAATGTGAAACACGCCCCTTTACAACATGCCCAGATACACAATTATGTGTGTGTGAGTGGGTGCGTGTGTGTTTGCGAGTGTGTTTGGGCTCAAGGGTTGATAATGGGCAGGGGCAGTTCGAATTTGGCTAGCTAGTGGTTGTTGCTTGCGACTTGGGTGCTACCTTTTGACATGCTTGCTACCAGCAGCTGGCCCATTAAACCCTCTTAATCCATTGGGGTCAGAGGGGGGTGGACTTCGTTCGGGTGGGTTTAGGGGTATACTCGTTTGTGGCAAATGCTTGTGTTATAGCAAATGATGTGCATAACGCTCATTTTGAGGCGGGGATTTATAATCAAAGAAAATGCCGCTAACCTTTCGCCAGCGATAAGGCGTAGCCAGCCATGATAAGAGTCCCACAGACACCGCAAACTTGATAGGCGGTGGTCGGTTGTTTAGTAAATAAATATTTATTTAAAAACCATTAACGAGCAGTAACTAGAAGGATTTTTAAATCAGCTTGTTAACCAAGGCGCTTTCACTTTCGAGCTCACACAAATAATCTCATATAATATATATGTATGTATATAAGTAGATAACTCTATACATTGTATGTTATGCATCAAACTATTATCACAAAGGCAATTTGCGTACTGACAATGGCCCAGCTGATTGCACTTCAGAGGGCACGTATTAAATAGACTGAATATTATAATCCAAGTGCAGCGCATGTCCATTTAGTCTACATTTGGTCGTCTTTTGATGAGGGTGACGAAGATTTATCTCTTGCTCGAATGGATTTACTGCCCACGAAAGCAAACATTTGTGACTTTATATTTTTGATTGGTGCATTTTTAATTCGTGTTTAATATCTAATTACTATATGTATGAATTTTATTGGACAGGTCGCTATCATGTCATTCGCAAAGTCGGCTGGGGTCACTTTTCGACTGTTTGGCTGTGCTGGGATCTGCAGGAGAAGCGCTATGTGGCCATTAAAATAGTGAAATCGGCTCAACATTTCGCCGACACAGCCAAGGATGAAATCAAGATACTCAGAGCGGTCCGTGACACGGATCCTTTGAATCCAGGTCGAGAGAAAACTGTCCAAATGTTTGATGACTTTAAAATCACTGGCGTGAATGGCACACACATCTGTATGGTCTTTGAGATGCTCGGCGATAATCTATTGAAGCTCATACGCAAGTCCAACTATCGTGGCATTCCGCTGGAGAACGTCAAGAGCATTACACGGCAGATTCTAGAGGGTCTGGATTATCTGCACAGCTGCTGTAAGATCGTTCACACCGATATCAAGCCGGAGAATGTGCTCGTCTGCGTCGATGAGCCACATGTCCGTTCGATGGCTGTCGAGGCTACACAGTTGTATTGCATGAACTCCAAGATGTATCCATCGCTGGTCAGTCGTGCACCGAAGGAGTATCGCGAGCCGCCCATCAATGGCAAGATGAGCAAGAACAAGAAAAAGAAGTTGAAGAAGAAGGCCAAGAAGCGCATGGAACTGTTCAAGAAGCAACGCGACTATTTGGAGCAAGCCGGTGGCGGCGAGGAACAAAAGCAGCCACCACAACCGCCGCCGGAACCCGAGAGGCATGCGCAGAATGGCGTTGCTGCCAACTCCGATATCGAGGTAGATGTCGACGACGATTCAAAAGCTGTTCAAGATCTAAAGGTGCAGTTGCTAAAACTGGAACTGGATCAGGATGATGGCGATGAGGAGCCAGAGGAGGCTGCTGAGCAGCCTGTGCCTTCCAAGGTGGCTAACGAGACAAGTGCTGCTGGCGATTCTGCTCAATCTGCTCCAGTGGAGGGCAATGAAAAGACCAAAAAGAAGAAGAAAAAGAAGAACAAGAGTAAGTTTGAGGCTTTTTAAGTAGACATCTTAAAACTAACGTCAAATCTTTCTTGTAGCCAAGTTTTTAACTTGTCTATATGCAATTTAAGCATAGATTTTCTTAACTATATTTTCTAGTTTGACTTGCCATTCATTGATTTTTATTTTCTTGCAGATAAATCCAGTCAACAGCAATCTCAGCCGGCGCAGCAGCAGCAGAAGCTGCTGCTGGAAAACTCAACAAGCAGCGGCGACAATTCAACCAGCACGCTTAAGGGACAATCAAATGGTGCCATTGGCGGCAATAAGAAGTCGACGCGGCCAGCAGTCAAGCAGGAGGATAATAAGCAGCTGAATAACAATTCGAATTCGAAGCAAAATTCGAATAGCAATTCGAAAATCTCAAATATCTCCATAGAGCACTCCTCGTCGTGGAGTTGTGGTCCGTATTCGGAGCCACTACTACCGCCACCACCACCGCCGCCTCCACTCTCCAAGCATCGAGCCCTCCGGCGAGATCCTGCACTGGAGGCGTGCAATGTGCAGGTGAAAATTGCCGATCTGGGCAATGCCTGTTGGGTGGATCGCCATTTCACCGAGGACATACAGACGCGACAATATCGCTCGCCGGAGGTCATCCTGGGTGCTGGCTATGACACCTCCGCCGACATCTGGAGTACCGCCTGTATGGTATTCGAGTTGGCCACCGGTGATTATCTGTTTGAGCCACATTCGAGTGATAATTACAGTCGCGATGAGGATCACATAGCGCACATAATCGAGCTGCTCGGTCCGATACCACGTAAATTTGTGTTCCGGGGCACGTATGCCCCGCAGATGTTCAATCGGAATGGCGAGCTGCGCAACATCACCGGCCTGAAACCGTGGGGCCTCATGGATGTGCTGATGGAGAAGTATGAGTGGTCCAAGCGTGATGCGGAAGCGTTTTCGTCGTTTTTGCGACCGATGCTGGAATTCAATCCGGATGAGCGGGCCACCGCTGCGGAGTGTCTGGAGCATCCGTGGCTTAGATAAGATACGATGCAGCCTGGTTGTCGGCTGCGAGCCAGCCAGCCAGCACGAGCAGCAGCAGCAGATGCAGGAGTAGACGCAGGAAGATTAGCAACACTAGGAATATCAGCATTAGAAGCAAACACAAAAACAGCAGCAGGAGCAGCATCATCCGTGTATGCGGAGTCAACGGCATCTGTGGCCACAATGGCCTCCATTTCATCCATTGCATCCACCTCGGCATCAGCGATCGCAACGATGCGATCACAATCCTATCCAGTAGCTCCATACGTGAAGACCGCCTCAGCACCGCCCACACCACATCCGCATGCTGTTCATAATCCCAGTTCGAGTGCGCGCACAGCGCCAGCAACGCCAACGAGGCGACACGACTTCGACAATTATCCACAGCATGTTGATGTGGATGGTGAGCAGGAAATTGGACTTGACATTGCCATGGAGGAGCCGCCGTTGCCAATTCAGACGACAACGCAGCGCGGCAAGCCCAAATCTCAGCGCTTCTTTTGGCGCAAGGCGCTCCGACGCGTCTTCCAGCGCCGCAAGTGACGTCAGCTGCGGCGTCGACGGCAAGACCTGCCCCGTTGGCGTCCACGTCGCTGCCGACGGCGCACTCTCGCCGAGCGTGTGCGTCGCATATGCACCTGCTGTGCCTACGGCCAGGTGCTGCTGAGCGCCGCACGTGTCGCGCTGCTCAGCTGCATCCGTTGGCGCACTCGTGGCACCATACGCAACAACAACTTTCACTTTAGCAATCACTAAAACAGCAACTGCAACAAACGCTCTGCTCTGCACAGGCCCACAAACACACACACACACATCCACACACACCAAACACATCCTTCACACACATCTACAAATATTAAGCTAAAATGTTAATGCGAAATCTGATTTAGTTGTTACAAGCATATTGCACTTAATTTATTTGCTTGTGTTTTACACCGATTAGACAATTTATTCCCTCTGATACGATATGAAATTATAAGCATTACAGTTTCCTATAATTAATATTATTATTATTGTATTTTATTTTGTTTGTTTGCTTACCTTTTCGAGACCTGTAAATAGGGCAAGCAGCAAATGTTTTGCACACGGCTTCTTTGGCTTATTTCAATTCTGTTCTCTTTAATTATTGTTTTAAACGATCTCCAAGATGTTTTTTTTTTTTTTATGTTTTTGCGTATTTTTGCCAGCAAATAGGAAGAAGAACGAATGAATAATGTTTACAATAACAGCCAATCAATCAATACATAAACCCGAACAGCTAGTTCATATATAGAATTTGTTAACGTATATCTAATGCCAAGGAGGCGAGTCGAGGTGAGGCGAGGCGAGACATCATATAGTTAAATGTCATATATATATATATATATATGTATATCTGAACGGTACTGTGGCAGAGACTGCATGTGACCCAATGGTTTTTAGCATACTTGCACATATATATACATATGTACATGGTTACATACATAAGTATTCTTGAGCTGAACATAACAATAATGAGCGTAGTTAATTAGATTATCCTCGACTTAGTAAGAATAACAAGAACCACAAGCTAAAACAACCAACAACAACAGCAATTATTACACGGTTAACAACAATTTTTTGAGCTAAGCCAAATGCACTATCAACTTAAAACCGGAAAAAAATATATCTATATACAAACATTAACAAAAGCCTTTAATTACGTAAGCAGCAAAAGAAAAAGAAGAAAGAAACTAATATAATTTGTATCCGCTAAACGACAAGTAAATATTAAGATTATAGGAAAACGATCATCTGTTCATGATAAAAACCAAGCAAAAATTGCAATTAATGCTAGTGCTATAAATTAAAAGAAAAATCAATTCATGTAGTAATATTTCGATTTACAAGAAAACAAAAATGTAGTGAACAACAACAACAACACAAACTCGAAACAAAATAACCCGTTTAAAGGCAAACTCAAAAAATTATACGGAAACTAAACAAGAAACCCCCCAAACAAAAGGCCACTTAAAAAATGATAGATAAGCAAAAAAGAAAAAAAAAGCTTGCTACAAATAAGCAGCGCAGTAGCAGCAGCTGAAGCAGCTCTTAATAATTTGAAACGCTTACTAAATTGATGGCATTCTGCATAGGTCTATATCTATGTGGGACTATGGAGGCATTATACATAAATACATATTCAGATACAAAACATACTCGAAGTTGTGTGTTTGTGTGCATTACTTACTATAATAAGTGGCCTTATTAATTCGATTCTCTGCACAACTCCCAACCAACACACACCCACACGAGCACAATAACAACACAATAGCAATTTAAATCTAAAATTAACACACACAAACACACACACAATGATTAGTATGTACAACTTAATCAATACTTAATTGGAAATGAATGTGTCTCAAGCCATTAAGCGATATCAAGCATAGACATCCATTCACGATAAATAACACACTCCAAACACAAAATTTGATGATGATAATGATGAAGAGGAAAAATTGTAGTACCCTATGAAACTTGAAAGTTAAATACCTTAACTATGTATAACAAGCACACACCAGTTTTCTAGTCTTCGGCAGGCCGAAGTTAAAACAAAAAAAAAACAAAAACAAGAAAAACCATTTGAAAGAAACAAGAATACTCTTTGAACACAACTAACAATGAACAACTATGTAGTTATCAGATTTTTGGGGCTATTACATGCATAAACATACTTAACAACTTATAGCTTTACGATAAACTACAAATTTGAAACCGAACCCTAGAAAAGTTAACTTGTGCTTAGAGTTTAAAGTATAGTGCCCGATGATTCCAAAAAAAAAAAAAAAAAAAAAACGAAAAACAACTTGTAAGTTTGACATATGAAAACATATTGAGCAAGCCGCACGCAATTCCATAATATCAAATTTCCTTTCAAAGAGTACGAGTATGAATATACGGATAAATAATTTATTGATGTAGTTATAAACAAATAAACAACAACAACAAAATACACAAATTGGAAAACGACAAATGTCTATTTTATTGCTGCACTGTGAAAATGTCTTATTCAACGGGGCCACACATCAATTTTCCATTACTGCACTTGCAGGAAGCGGAAAGGAAGAAGCGCGAGGCAGAGCGTGGCAGAGAGAGAGAGGGGGAGTGAGTGGAGTAGGATGTAGGATGTAGACACATTCGCATTCATTTATAACCCATTCTCGTAGCGCATTGCATGCAATTACATATTGCCCGGAAGCTGTTAGCTGGAGATGAGTTGCTCGTGCCAAGAATTTATGGCCACATAAAAATCACAAAGCAGCCACCTCAGCACGGAAGACGTTCAAGTTGCCTCAAAATTGAAAATGGGCGAACAGGACACTTGCTGCACGCTGGACAAAACCACACACACAAACACACACACACACACACACAAGCAGCCACGCGCAGTGTGCTTTGAGGATTTGCTGTCGAAAACCTTTCGACTGTATTGTATCACCTTTGGGATATATCACGTTTGTTTGGCTAGGGCTAAACTTGAAATTGAATTTGATGGGACGTTGCCAAATGTTAAGGTGCTTTGTTAAGCACGAGGGAGGAGAGATAAGTATGCTTACTACACCTAATATTATTATTATTATTTCTTGTAATTTATTGTGCCCATATTTTACTGGCTGCTAAATTTGGTATGCATTTGAGACAAATGAAAGCTTATATTTTATTTTTGGAACTACTACACTTACACAAATTTCGTTGGTATCTCCATGTTTACTATTTGCCCACATCCTTCTTAAAAACTAAAATTGCACTTAGTGGAAAATATTTATACACTGAATTATTGATTCAGCTTTTGTAGCTTGTTAAATTTCGAATAACTTTACCTAATCTAGATTGTTGAGTATATTTTTGTGTTCATGTTTTGGTCTGCAGATTAATTTGGCATTTATATTTGGAAATTCGATGTTATTCAACGAATTTAAGCTATGCATCTCACAGTTAATCATCAGTTAATACTTTCCATCTATAAATAATTGATTCATTTTAATTTCTAAGTCATATTTATATATTGTACAGTTTCGAAAAATATTCCCATTTTGCTTAACATTCTAATTACTATTTCAATTTACTTATCAAACTTATCATACGGCTCTCGACTTCTGAATACAATGCCTCGAATATATTGTATCTTTGTATCTCATGTGGATGTGTTTGGCTGTGAGATTAATTTATGGTGGTTTGTGTGGGCAATATTTCAGTCACCAGCTGCCAGCCAAAGAGGATAAGAGCTACCGTATCAGGAACTCTGCGAAAGAATCGAATAAAAGTTAAATAAACGTGTCTACTTTGCCATTTGAATGCTGACGGAATGAACAGGGCTGAGTGCTTGGCTAAGACAATCGCAAACTTGGCCAAATGTCAGGGCCAGTAAAGAAATTGCCATAGCGAGGGAAAGTCAATCAGCCCGAGGCTATATATGTGTGAATACATTTTTGTAATCCATAAGAAGAATGCGAATGCGTATGTAGTTGCTGAGTTGTCAATTGAATGTTGTAGTCCAAATCACTTAACACCTGAAAGATGCCAATCAAGATGCCAATCAACCAAGGCGTTGCAGTTTCTGAACCCCAATGATGCATATCATAACTCGTCGGTCTTTTTATTCATTGCAATCTCTTACAACATTTATCTCTTTATCTCTTTACGTCTCTCTTTATATTCACACTTCTTAACGGTCCACCTGATGTGATTATTCCACTCGAGTTGGCCGCATTCAAGTTAGTTGTAAGTTTTGTGCTATTCAACGCTTCAACAAATTTAAAAACGGTTGTTAAATCAATTTTCAGGAAATTTTCGTTGCCTGCTGGCGATGGTTTTTGAAATTTATGAACTTGTTAATACTTTGAAAGCTTTTTTCAGTTGAATTCAAGGTAGAGCAGGGGTCACTCATTCATTTTGATTTGGCTAAAAGTTTAGAAACAAATACAAAACAGCTTCGAACGTACGCTAACAAGACCCAGATTTGCTTATAAATGTCTAACAAATGGCAAAATAAGAAAAGTTTTGAACGGACGACTGTCCGCTAGGAGTGGCTAAAAAATAAAAATAGGTTCTAATCTACTGCTCGACTAGGAGATACCCATTTGTAGATGATATTGTGCTCAAAATGTATGAACTTAAAATCAATATTAAGCGCCCATTAAATCTGATCAGGAATATATACTTGGGTCATTTCGGTTACATAAATGGGTAGAGAATAAAACTCTTTTAACGTAGCTTGATTGGTAACAGAGTACAAAAGTAAAAGTAAAAGTTTCAATCGCTTGAGAATAAACCTATGGAATTGTTGTCCAGCATCCAAGGACTGATCGATATGCTGCACATTCCATATTTGTGTGTGATTTTTGTGTGCGTGTCCCAGAACACAAAGCAAACACAATGAAACTTTTAAAAGGTCCTTTTAAATGCGACCAAGCGCAAACGATTATTCAATTTACAGTCTGTGAGCACTGTGCGAGAACGCTAAGCGACGACCCCATAGGCCAGGATCATACAATCGAGCAATCAGCTCCGGCGAGCCCTTCAGCGTTGTGCACTTTAAGGCTTGTCCTCGTCATCGTCATTGTCGTTGCCGTTGTCGTTGTCGTTGCCCTTGTCGCCTTTTAAAATGCCAGCGAGTGGCACTGATGACATTAAGTAGCTGTCGGGTTGGTCAGGATTAGATAGCAAAAGTGCCTGATGTTAGTTTAAAGTAGATAAACAAAGCGGATTCAGCCTCCGCCGCAGTTTCAGGCGATATCATTGTTCAAGGCAAGACAGCTATAAGTGTGTGTATATATATATATATATGTATATATGTACTTGTGTGTGCGATTTGTCTGCGTTTTGTGGTTGAGTTTGTGTGCTCTATATTGGAAGCATTTGTCAACCGCACATCCGTTGAGGCTTTAATCATCCAGCGCGTATCTATTCATTTAATCATTTTCACTTTTGCTTTTACCTTCCAGAGAAGTCTTGAGTTGGAATGCACAAGTTTATAAAACTTGAG